CATTCTTCATGTTTCATTTAGGTCCTTTCATGGTTTGACCTCATATGCCACTTCATGTTATATCTCTCTTTTGGTCCCCATTTCTTGCATGCTTTGGCAGCCCATTATGCTTCCATTTTTGGACGATTTACAGGCCTATAAATAGTCTTATTTTGGCCCATTCTTCATGTTTCATTAAGGGTCTTTGGCCGTTTGTGGAATATTTTGCATACCTCATGTTATAGCCTCTTTTCAGCCTTATTTTGCATTGCATTTCTAACATGTTTGTATGCTGTTTTGGCCATTTTACAGTTCTGTAAATATGCTTATTTTTTGTCCCTATTCAGTGTTGTAGAAGGGAATTTTTCAGTTTGGGCTTTGCATATACCACTTGCCTCTTTGGCCACCTTTTGGTCCATTTTCTTGCATAAGAACTTAGCCTTATCTATGTTTGTTTTTGAGGTTTTTACAGTTCTGTGAAAGTGCTTATTTTTGGTCCCTCTTCAATGTTGTTGAAGGGTCCTAACCCATTTAGAATTAGCAGTTGTGAGTTGCTTCATAATCTCATGTTTAGGGCCATTTTCGCATGCTAATTTTGCCCTATCTTTGCTTGCTGTTTGGCCATGTTTTGTACTAGTAAAATGCTTATTTTGGGGCTGCCTTGCTTCTGTCTTTTCATTCCATGTGCCAATTATGCATGTTTGGTATAGCTATAGGCCATTTCGGGTGCCTAATTTTGCATTTCGGGAGAAATTCCATGCATCGGGTGTGTTTTCGCTTCATTTCAGGGCTGTTTTCCCCCATATTTCAGTGCCTAAATTTCATATTGCATTCTATATGCCATTTCCATGCCATTGCATTGCATATGTCATTGCCTCGGTTTGCGTGCCCGTGTGCACGCGTTTCGAGGCACTTCATTTTTCATCCATCGGCCTCTTATGTGAGTGTGGCTGAGGCTCTCTCATGTTAGTGTAAATCCATGTCGCATTCTATATACCATTCCCATGCCATTGCATTGCATATGTCATTGCCTCGGTTTGCGTGCCCGTGTGCACGCGTTTCGAGGCACTTCATTTTCATCCATCGGCCTCTTATGTGAGTGTGGCTGAGGCTCTCTCATGTTAGTGTAAGCCCATATCATATTTCCATATCATTTGCATTGCGTATGTCATTTCCTTGGTTTGTGTGCCCGTGTGCACGCATTTCGAGGCATCTCATTTTTACAGCTTAGTGCATACTAAGTTGTATCTTAGATCGCATTCATGCATTTCTCGGTTCGCGTGCCCGTGTGCACGTATTTCGAGGCATCTCATTTTCATAGCATTGTGCATGCTAAGCTGTATCTTAGTTGCATTCATGCATATCATCCATATTGCATCGTGTCCGGGATAGGAGTTAGCCCGGGCACGGGAAACGAGGTACGTTTCGTACTCCGAGTGACGGAACGTGTCTCAATTCCCCAGTCACCGACACTCCGGATTACCCATGATGGAGTTAGGGTTTGTTGTGTTTATACGTGCATTCATTCTATATTAAGTTGCACATTTCGACTCCTCTGCCATCATGCATCGGTATGCGTGATTGATGGCACGAGGATCGAGGCATGCATATATCTGTGAAAATACATTGCCATGCCCCTTTCCTGCTCTCTGTTGCAGCAAAATGAAGAATCAGCAACTTTTCGGGACTTGGCACGCGTTTCAAGAATAATTGCTACACAGAGGCTAATTGGGGCATCCCGGTGGATTTCCGCGCAAGACAACCCGGACATGCATCATCCATCAGAAGCAAGGCAGTCCCTGGCTTGCATGCCAGTTTTATTTATTTTCTTATTTAATTTGATTAATTAATTAGGAATTTGTATATTATTTGGACTGTAATATTCTTTTATTCGGGACTGTATATTTATTCGGACCCTCTGCGCGAGGGCATAATTGTAATAAGTGTGCGTGTGTGTGTTGTATGTCTTCCAACCCCACGTCTTTCTTCCCTTTTATGGTTAGATTAGGGCATATTCCAATTAGCATACAGTATGACAGCATGTTTGCATCATTCATTTGTTTTGCATGCACCGGGCTCGGCGCATCATACTAACTGCATTGTATTTCAATTTCAAAAATTGAATACATGTTAGTTGTTGCATCTCATATGCCATGTTTAGAATAGCCGAGCCTGCTATAGTTTGCATCTTTGCATGTGTTGCATTAGGCATTTCTGTATACTTAGGATCATGCATGATTTCTAATGTCGTCTCTTTTTTGGCTTGGAGTACTCGGTAAGTTTTATGCTTTAGCATCCTTGCATGCGTGTGAGTGACTGCCATGAATAGCATGCTTACCATGAGGCTATTTGCTTACATGATATA